CGAACAAGTGTTACTCAAGCTACAACTGTACGCGCAATCATCCATCGTCAATCGCCCATGTCGGAAGCTCTCCTACAAGTTCTACGGGCCATTCACGGTGACTGAACGGATCGGCACCTTGGTGTACTGCCTTCAACTGCCAGCGGACAGCCGCATTCATCCGGTATTCCATGTCTCCCAATTGAAGCCTTACACCCCTGACTACACTCCTGTCTTCTCGGAGCTGCCGCAAGTACCAGACCTGGTCGCCGGCGATGCAGAACCAGTGGCCATCGTGGAGCGTCGTATGATGAAGAAGGGCGACGCACCAGTAATCCAACTGCAAGTTCAGTGGTCCAACCGACCACCGACTGCCACAACCTGGGAAGACTACGACGTTCTCAAGGAGCGATACCCATTGGCCTGCATCTGGGAGGAAGCTCCTTCTCAAGACGGGGGCAATGTCACGCCTGCAGATGGCGATCTGCAACGGACTGCAAGTGCAGTTCAGTTAGCAGATGCTAACTGAACCGCAACCGTGTGTTGGGCCTGAGGCCATGTAATGTGTGTGTGTTGGGTTGCGGCCCAGGGCGAGCCCAGAGGGCAACTACTTATTGTGCGGTGATCGAATGATGAGGCAGCGAGTAATCAGAATCAAATCTTCTTTCTCCTTCTCACCTTTCTCCTCACCTGCTCTCCTCACCTACCCGATCCGATCTCGATCCCCTCTCACCCCCTCTTCGTTGGGTCGTGACATCGGGGCCGGTCGATCTAGCCGTCAGGAGATCCGCCAGCGAGGCAGAAAAGGGGTAATGGCGCCTCATCTTTTGGAAACTGCTCCGCTCAGACTTCAAACACACAATTACACTTCAGTTTCTAATCACGCATAGACAGAGATTGATGAGGATGCAGTGCGCGGAGCAGCCGTTTCTACAGAACATTAGTGCATTAATGGAGTGGGGTTGCGCCTCAAGACGGATGGTGGAGGTCAGGTACCTACATATTCTCTGTCCGGTCACCCAGGTTCTTCTCCCTTCTTCCTCCAGCAGTACTACAGTAGCATCAAGAGCTACGCTTCTCCACTATGTCGCCCCTCATCTTCAATTTTGATGCAGATTTCCCTTTCCCAATACAATCCCTTGGCACTTAATATATATACTCTGGTCGGGCTCCTACTGATGTTGATTTCCGCTTTTAATTTGTTGCAGTTATTGTCGCCCAAGTGTTTGTGATTGCTTCTAGCTTATTGGTTCAACAAATTTCTGCAGGGTGTTTCTGGGGTTATTTTTGTTCCTGAATTCTAAAACTGAGGATCCCAATGGCTGCTCAAAGGTTAGTTTAGTCGAATTTCATATTTTATTCCATAGTCAGTGTGTTCATACGATTGCTTACTTTCCATTTTTATCTGTTCGTAAATATTCATGACATGCTACTGTCCACTATTATTTTCGCTATATATATGCATGATGCATCAGGTTATTTAGGACGGTAGATCCTTAGACGCATGCATAATCTTGTTGTACACAGTCTTAGTTTGTTCCTATATGAAAAATGACATATATAATGTCTGTACAGTTCTTTGAAAGAAGAAAGGATTGTTGAATGTTTGGTGCTTCCAGTATGTGCCTGATTGTGGAGGAGATGTTGGAGATGGGGATGTGGCTTCTCCTACTTCAGAATGTAGCGTAATTAAATGGCTTCTTGCATTCCAGTTAAGTAAAGTCTCTTTTGCACTCTATCTGCAACTTTCTCCTTTGGGGGTATTGGAATTATTTTTAGTATGATTGAATTGATTGTTAAGTGCGCAATGTATGTTTGTGATAGGTTTATAGCCGATTCTTTATTTTTTACAAAGTTGAGCAGAAAGAACAAGAGCAAAGCCTTTTGTTTCCAAAGCCTACCCAGCCTGACAACTTTTGAATGATCTAACCCCGAAGCAAGATTTGTACATAAATTGCTATGATGGGCCAACTAAAGATCCAACTCAAGTACCCTTCTTCCGAGTTTAAGGAGAGAACTGTCTTGATGAACCCGTTTTCACCGCACACCGGCCCCATTCAATCTTTTCTACTGGACCGAACCACCGCAGAAACTAGGTAAGAGGAATCAAAGAAATGTGAGTATAAGACATGATGTTAACATCATTTCTATGAATTTCATTTCTTGTACTATTGTACCTAAACATTTCTCTCTTAATAATAGGAAAAACCTCAAATTTAAATATGGTAACACTAGCACTATATCTTATTTTTGTTTATAGATGTAAAGATATGTATGTAGAACTATTTTATATTGCTCTCATGTCTGCTTTACCCACAACCTATTTATCATGATGTATCTACCATTCTCAAACTTTGTATTGCAAATTTCTGCAACATTTTGCTATAGAGTTATTTTGGGAGCCAAAACAGTAGATGATCAATCACAAAAAAATGTTCCCATCAGCCATCCTAATTTAAATCACATACACTTGATACCACGATACCACGACTTGAACCAACACGTCTGCATGTGCTCTCAGATGAATAGTAAATTCAAAATAAATAGTAAATAAAATTGAAAAATTTTGTCTTCTTGTGTACATGTTCCTGTGTTCCTGTTAGTGTAACAAGCGTGCTCGACAATTTTCATGCGAAACGGAATAGCAGTACTTCGTTGGTGAAAAAACAAAATTAAGTGTAAAATTCGGTATTCAACTTTTTTTTGCACGGGTCAACAAAATTGGGTGCAGGAGCATATACTCCCAAGAGCCAAACTGGATTTCCTCGAACACACTACTTTCTTGCAAACCAACTGGATTTCTCTCTGTAGTTACATAGTATTATTGTAGATTGACTGGCTCCTCTCCCTTATTACATATCATTTTTTGTGAGTCCCGATTACATATCATTGTGTTGAAAAAATCAAGTGGAGACAAAAACAACCTACAAGGAAGCCTAATACATCAAACAAAGTATATAAATTACTTCAAGTCCCTGAAAATAAAATTAAGAATAGACGGGCGCAGCAACGCGCGCCATTAACAATCTAGTAAAATGAAAAGCAAGACTGAGGGGATGTCCTAAAGAAGTGTCATCCTAATCGGCTCCTTCTGTGCCGGTTAGGGGATCTGGCACCCATGCGCAAGCAAAAATGGGCCGGCCCAGCACACGGGCGAGCGATGGCTCGTGAGGGCGCAACTGCTTCGCTCGGTCAATGGTTGACTATTCCATAGTTGACCACCTCACTGGTCAACAATTGATTCTTTAAAAAAGATCAATAAATCCAAGAAAACGCAAAAACAAGGAAAAGTTTGCCAATTTAGAAAAATTACGAATTTGAAAATTTTGCGATTATGAAAAAATGTTGACGAATTTTTAAAAAGTTCACGTAATGGGAAAAAGGTCCAAAGATTTTAAATAGTTCAATGCTTTTCAAAAAAAGTTCATGAATTTGGAAAATCTTCACAAATTTGAAAAATAGTAATCACGGATTTGAAAAAAGTTCGTTGATTGGACAAAACAGCTCATAGATTTGAAAGTTTGAGGATTTGTTTAAAAAGTTAGACTATTGAAAAAATTCACCAATTTTGAAACAAAGTTCATGAATCTAAAAAAGTTCATGTGGTTTTAAAAAAAGCTCAAAAATTAAAGAAACTTCTTGATTTTGAAAAAATACCATACTTATAGAAAACATTAAAAAATGAAAAGACAGAAAATGAAAAAAAATGGCAGCAGAAAACACACCAGAGTTCTTAAATGGGTTGGCCCTCTAAGTCGAATGGGGTGTGTGCCCGTTAGTGAAATACAATAAAACCGGGCCAACTCCTGTTTGGCGCCTTGTGCGCCCGTTAATGTGTTATCCGGAAACTGGCACACACCCCATTCGCCGAGCCAGACCATTTTTATCTTTTCTATTAACCTTCAAAAAGAGGCGTGTCCGACGAGATTCCAACTCCTGACCATCTTGTTTAGTATACCTCACATTCTTAAAAAAGAAAACAAGGACATCTCACATGTTGTGAGTACTTACTTATTTTTTCTTCTTTCTTCTTTCTTCTGTCCGCGGAAGCTCCCAGTTTTGAAAATCTTTCCAAACTGGTTTTCCCAGTTTGCAAAATTGAAGATTTGTTTTAAAAAATGATGATTTTTTTCAAACTTGTGGATACTTTTCCAAAATCGATGAATTTGTGCAAATTCGTGAACTTTTGCAAAATCTATGAACTTTTTCCCTACAATATGTGAACGTTTTTCGAATTCCATCTAACTTTTTTCCGTACTCGTGAACTTTTTATTGCAAATCTATGAACTTTTTTTCAAATCCATGTTTTTTCAAAAAAAATTCTGAAATGTTCAGATTTATTTTTCACAAAGGTCAAAACAATTGTCTGCTCAACAACTGACCAGTTAACGGCTGCCGATCAACCATTGACCTGAGTGATCAAATAATAAGCTACGTACCAAGTGATTGAAGAGACAAGATATTCAAGCGACGCAAGGGATCATTCACAAGCGAAGGGGATGAGTCAGCAAAGACAAAGAGATAAAGGTTAAGGCAAGGGGAAGTGCTTCTCATGTGGCCTGCGGGGGTACACGTGTTGAGGAGTCGAGGCGTCTGATTACACGATTGGAATCCTCTACCTTTGACATACTACATTAATTTGGAAGGTTACTGCATTATATAGAGTTCTAATGCATTATATGGAGCATTAATATTGAGTTTTAGTGCACTACATTAATTAAGCAACTGTTAATGGTATGATTGGAATCATCTGTCTTTATTATACTCTATTAATTGGAAAGGCTACTTGTACTAATACATAATATATAGTTTTAGTGTACTGCATTAATTAAGTTATATATGGCAAATCTTAGTGCATTACTCTGCTCTGTTTCGTGAGGAAAAAAGATGCTTGCGGCTGGCTTTATATATCTGAGCCGTATCTTCAGGCCTTCTCCACTCTCTTTCTATCACCAGCAGTACCTTCTTTTTTTCTCGAAAAGGGGAAAGACCTTCTGAAGAGTGCAAGGTGTGTGCGTGCTATGGAGAACGGCAACGCCCTACCATCTGGTGTCAGCAGGGACACTTTGCCCCAGGATTTCCCCGCGGGGATGAGGGTCCTCGTGGTGGAGGATGACCCAAACGATCTCGAGGACTTGACGCAAATCCTCGAGAGGTGCGGCTACAAAGGTACCTGGGCGGCCATCTTAGATCTACTCCCCTCAGTTTTGCATGTCTCCTCTGCCTATTCTTGTGAGATCTGCATCACCTTGTACGTACTTGTTTGTGTCATGCAGTGACGGCAAAAGCGTCGCCAAGAGAAGCGCTGATAGAGGTGGAGGAGAAAGGAGAGGGCTTCCACTTCGATATCATCATGACCGTCGTGCACGGTGGCGAAGAAGGAGCTGGATTCGATGGCTTCGACCTCCTCGAGCGCGTTCGGGGTCGCTACCCAGTCATCAGTGAGTATTCGAAATGTGATCGCACACATATAGGCATGCATGGTTACTGTGAGGTTAGTATCGGTACATACTGATGTGCAATCCTGCATGTGTTTGTATAGTTTTCTCCCCGGACTATTCCAAGGAGATGGTGATGAGGACAATCAATGAAGGCGCCTGCGACTTCATGCCAAAGCCTATGTGCTACCAGGAGGTGCGCAATATCTGGTTCCATGTCGACATGCAGAGGGGATTAGAAGTGGACAACCCTGACGAGGGGGTAGAAGGTGCGTCACATATGTTTCTAACTATTTCCACCATGTTTGGCTGTTTGTTGTGGCTGCATCGTACGTGATCCTTTTCTACTCTGTTAATTAGTTTCTGGGTGCTTGTTGAAGATTTCACTTGTAACATGCAAGCATTTCCATGTATATATAGTAGATAGGTAGGTTTGCGAGTGCCGGTCTTAAGAGCGAGGAGTCCGCGTGGCGGCAAGCAGGCATGCGTCAGTGGCCGTGCCTGGCGTCCTCGTCGGCGTGGGCTGGCTGCTGGCGTCCGTTGTCCTGGCTGTGCACAGGCTTCTAGCGGCTGGCCAAAAGTATGTCTAGCAAGATTATGTGCCTTAAAATTGGTATCCTTCCCTTCAAAAATAAAAGAGCAGTGCTGAAACTGGCTCGAGGTAGCTTTAGGTTACGTTTGGTTCATTAGGTAGCCTTGATAACGCTTGCGTATGTGCTGAAGTACTATATGCAAGTGTGGGACTGGGCCGCAGCGTGCGTTTTTGAGCTGAACACTTGTCAGGCCTGGCGAAGCTCTGGCCGAGCCCGAAACCTCTCTCATCCTGTCAAGCCTTAGTTTGGATGGTCATCAGAAATGCAATTCTACTATGCACGGGGTATTCTTTGCATGGACCCATTGTCCATGGTCTTTTTGAGTTTCATGCTATTTGTTGACTGCTTTCAAATCTTGTCTTTGTTTCAAAGCTTTACATTGGGAATGATTAATATATTTCATTAAAGGAATGATTTCAATCAAGCTTGGCCTAATTAATGTAGGGCATTAAACTAGCCCCGATTGACGTAGTATAATCAAGGTGCGATTCCAATTAGGCAGCTGATTGCGCGCTTGCGTTGACCGTCTCGACAGGTCGCCACATGCCATAGTACTGGGCCTTATGTGAAGTGACCCCCTTACCTTATCCCTATCTATTCATCTTCCCCTACTCACCCCCCTCCCTCACCCCTCCTACCTCGCGCTATACTCCATCATCACCTACCAAATCTCACTTGTTCCGATCACCTCTTCCATCTCTAGGCTATCATTCCACCACCGTCTGCTAATCCACGTGACACGTGCTACTTCAAGGGCAGTGTCGTGTTGCTGCAACCTAGGGCCGCCGCGCCGCAAGTGGCTGCCCATTGCTGGAACCGACTAAACCACCGCTTGCTGATTGTAGGCGAGCTACACATTCTAATTGGTTGTTTTACGACAAAACTGGGATGACTGATGTAGTAATGTATTGAATGAGTTTATTTCTGGGAGTAGGACTAATTTTCCTATTCAAGTCTTGGTCTAAAGGTGAAGTATCATTCATGACCCCACGAACAACTTCTCTAGTTTTTGTCCTCTTGAAGCTCTTAACATGTATTTTTCTAGGCGTTTACCGAATCCAGGGTTCACATTGAGTGTAGGACAATCGTACTATGAAATGCAGCAAGAGCTAAGTACTTTGTTTTAAAACCAAAGAATAGATTATAATAAAAAAGTCCTCCAAAGTCGAATATCCAATTGTGAGCCTAGGCTCATTTGCACCTGATGATCAATAAATTTTAAAATAATACTAGGAAAATTAAAAAAATCCAATTTTTTGCATGGAAGATATTGGAATGAGTGAAGTGTGTGTCAAAATTCCATGCATTTGGACACCCGAGTAGCTCTCAGCAAAAAAAAAATCAGATTTGAACAGTGCACAAGCAGTAAACTTTTTCATAGACCCGAAATTTGTCCTTGTTGCCGAGAGCTACTCGGACATCCAAATGTTCTGAAATTTGGCACGTACATCACGCACCTAGGCATCTTTCTCTACAAAAGAATCTGATTTTTTTAATTAATTTAGTATTTTAAATGATTTTTTGTTCACTCACGGGCTCATCTGAGTCTGGGAGCCAAAACACATCATTCCTCTAAAATCCACTTCCTAGCCATTCCCCTTGTATGGGTTTCTCTAAGCCCCGGTACATCTGAAGATTTATCTTCCCATACTATGCGCCACTTTGGGCTATTCATACTTAGAGAAAATATTTTTCAATACTTAAGAACCGCTATTCATTTTTTTCGGAACTGCTGAGAAATCCACTTTGAAGCATTTTCTGTACTATGTCGTTGTCGACCACAATACTTCTCATCGGCAATTTCGAGTTGTCATGATTTATTTATCTATTGGGCAAAATATATGTCCAGTAATTTCGCTTCGTTTTCAACTGGAACTTCCGAGCTGCTCCTTTCTGTAGATTCTTATTCTAAGAACTACTCCCTCACTATGGTACTACCAAGCAATTGGTTTTACATGGTACTTTCTGAGTAGTTGTGCCTTTGCCAAAATGTGTTATCTTTTTCAGTCGAAACCTCTACTTATTCATTCAGTGGTACTTCTGAGTGATTTACTTTATTTGGTCCCTGAACATTGTTGTGGCCATTCAAATTTATTTGAATTGTCTTCGTTGTTCCATAAACTACTACCAGTCCTTCCAAGCATGGTTACTTATTTTTTGCAGTAATATCTATATTTTGGAACTTATCCACAAATAGCCTATACCCATCCATGGTTGCAACCATTCCTTTCCACCCTTAGTCATTTCACTCACTCAATCCACCTATTCAAATCACTCCACTCCATCACACTTAAGAAAAGAAGTTCTGGGTGGTTCCATGTTCACTTCTTTGATTCTTCCAAGGCCAGGAACTCCCCTTTCCTGCATACCTACATCTCTAGTTCATCTCTTTCATGACATTCCTATTCTGGTGAGAGTGACCCCTTTGATTCTTTAGAGAATTTTTGATTGAAGATCATTCTGGGAGTTCTTATCAAGTGACTTTTCTTTGCTTGTTACTCTTGGCTAGTGAGCGCATCCTAGATGGTTAGGGGTCACTTGAGATCCTATCATGTTCTATAACTAGATGCTTGTTAAGTACTTAAGCTTGTGTTGTCCTTGTTGTCTTGTGCTAAAAACTTCCTACCCTAAAATCAGGATATAATTATTTTATAGCACTATTCACCCTTTCTAGTCCTTAGACCTTAATCCAAACACCGCCCGTGTTAGCTGCAAGTGGTTCAAGAGTTGGCAGCCGTCACAAATGCTAGAGTGAGCTCAAAATCGACAATGCTAAGCCGGTGACCGGGGATTTTCAGCCCTCTAGCACACAGAAGATGTCGGTGCGCAAGAAGCACCATCTTGATGTCGTGTTCATGGCTTTTTATATTCATCACCCTATGAATAAGACATCTGAGCCCTTCTTTCAGATGATGGTGCCTGCTTCTAAGATCAGGGGGCTTCATGGCACCATCTCTTTTTGACTGAAGACCCTCAAGAACGTGGTCAACCTCTTTCATTCTTTTGGGTAAGGCAGAGGATGGCATGGTGGACGATCACATTGTCGTCGCTGTCTTGGAGCGCACCGTCATTTCTCTTCGGTGCACTCATGTGCACCCTGAGTTAGAGTGGAAGTATCAAATACATGTCTCCTTAATAATTTGATGACAAGTTGTACCAGGGTTGTGTGTATGTGTCACTACAAGTATTAGGAAATTTGCCGTCTGTGGAGCTCTTTCTGTCAGCTTTTTATCGGGGCTGACAGAAAAATAGAGAAAAAGTGACGGCAAATTTCTAATGTCAGCAAAGAGCTCACTTTGTTGTCTGTTTTTATTTGACGGGCGGCAAAGAAAGACTTTGTCATATTTTTTATTTGACTAGCAGCAAAGACAAACTTAGCCATATGGTTTTATTTGACTGATAGGAAAGACAGACTTTGCCGTCAGTTTTTTCTGGTCGTCGGCAAGAGAAAGCACATCCCGCGGATCGATCGCGCAGATTTATGATGTGGCACCACACCACCCCCACGCACGCACATACTTGCCCAACTCCACCCTACATGCACCTCTCTCCCTTCTCCCGGCGCCGCACCATCTCCCGCCCCACACCGTCACACCACCTCCCTCCCCGCGCCGCTGCACCACCTCCGGCTCCACGCTGAACTGTTGCCGCACCTGCATCTCGATGCATGCTGCCGCACCACCTCTTGCTCTGCCCTGTGTCGCCACACCACCTCCTGCCTCCATGTTGCACCGTCACACCACCTCCATCCATGTGTCGCTGCATCAACTCTTGCCCAGCCCTTGCACCGCGCCGCCACATGACCTTCCTCCTGGTGCCGCCCGAGGACCTCCTTCTCGTCGCCCTTTCCTGACCCGAGAAAGCCGCCTTCTCCTTGCCGGAGGCCGACGCCGGTGACCGAAGCCACAGGAGCACCGCCGCCCATCACGTGTCACCTTCACCTTCCTCCTCCATTCCCTTTCTTCTCCTGGCTCTTCCTCTCTCCAATGTTTCTCTCTGTCCCAGATCTCTGTCTCTGTCTCTCCTCAAAGGACATGGCTGCCACCCGGAAGCTCCCTCCATCACCTGTGACTCATCGTCATCCTACGAAGTTCCCTGCACATGGATCCATCCGACCATGCATCCTGCAAAACTCCCTGACGACAAGACCCGGGGCTTGCCCACTTGCACCTTGAATCTACACCTCTTCCCTGGCACTGCCTCAAACCCGGCGCCAACACCCCGCCTCCTTGCCATATTTGTGCCACTTGGCGTCTTCCCCACGAGGAGCATGATGCAATGGCCCTATCTCTCTTCAGCCTCGACAGAGGAGGACGAGCAGCGCGCCTGTGTTTTTTTCTAATATTTACCCATTTATTTGTCGTCTGTGATGTTTGAGGCTAATAGCAAAGATGGATTTTGGCCGATGGCAAAGATTCTTTTCTTTGCCATCTGTTATTATTCGGCTGACGACACATACGGAGTTTGGCTGATGGCAAAGAATTTTCCATTCGCCGAGGAAAAGCTCATGGCAAAGTAGCTCTTTTCTGACTTCATTTTATCGTCAGCAAGTTGACGGCAAAGAATGTTTAAGCAGACAACAAATTTCTTGATTCCTCTAGTGTGTGTCTTCAAATTCTTGGATGCATATTTGTGATGTCGTGGCAAACTCATTTCTCTTAGGTGCCTTTGTGGTGTTCTACCTTGATCATCAGCTCCTTAGCACTGCGATGTTTTTCCCATGAAAGAAAATAGTATACAAAGCTCACGACCATGGTGTGGAACATTCATCATTGGGTTCTCCTTGAAAAATCATGCCAAATGTCTAGCAAATTCTCCTCGCTCACGACCCCTCCCTCATACGTCTTCAGGGGACAAATCTCTTGACATCTCTAGTTCCAATGAACACACTTATGCTAGATGTTGGGGAATACATTGTTTTTCTTTCCACCAAAGGATGAGAGGTGGGATTATCACCTCCTATAGCCATCGATCTTTTGTGGTGTGCACTCATCTCAATAGATGCACAACATTAGCACCACCTTATGCTCCAACACTCTAGGATGCTCCCATGCCTAACACATCGACCATTATGTACTTAGTTAGGTTGTAGAGCTTACCATTGTATTAATATGTGATGTCTATATATACATGGCCCAGAAGCGTAAATATAATAAAAATTGATTTCCAGAAAATTTCTTAGCATTAGAGTAGTTCCTTTCCAATCCTTCACAATGTGTCAGAACTCTGTTGCGTCCCCCACTGGCACCAAGTCCACTGTCAAGTCCTCTGATAGCAGCAACCTTCGGATTGTCCATGTCTTTGTAAGAAACTCTTCCTTCTCTCCTCCCTCCATGCATCAGACCAATATCACCATTCAAACTCAACTTGGCCATCAAAAACTACACCAAGTGGAAGCATCTCTTTCAACTCGTGGACACCAAATTCGACTGCCTTAACCTCAAGCATGAGTATGATCTTGCATCTTGAGACATCAAGTGGCGCAAGGAACATCTCACCATCATCATGTGGCTCTATGCAACGATATCTAGTGAGATATACAATGTGTACATGTCAACAGAGAACGTAGCCAACACGATGTGGTAGCACCTGCACGTGTTCTTCGATGACAAGCTTACCAAATGCACGATCCACATTGGCACAAATTTCTAGGCAACATTTCGAGGTGACATGATCATCGCCACCTACTACTGTTGCCTCAGGGCGCTCATCCACTCCCTCGCCAACGATGAGAAACTGGTAACCGACAACTCTCTCACATTGGTGATGATTTGCGGCCTCGGCAACATATATCAGGTAATGGCCTCCATACTCCACCTACATTTGCCCTTTCCCCCTTCGTCTAGGCACAGTCATTGTTGTTTCTTAAGGCAATCACAATGTATCGGCACAAGCACGCCAATGGCACCCCGACACTCACCATCAACAATGACTCTCGCCAAAAAGTGGTGATGCAGTCGCCAACTTCTAGGAGCACGGCAGCAGGTAACAAGACAATGAATATGCTCCATAAATGACCATTTGAATCACGATTGTCCCAGTGGATGCTCCTCGGAGCATAGGCGCATCAGAAGTCATAAATGTGGCTCACCCAACCACATGGGCCATGGAAAACATGGCATCCCTAGTTTCCTTAGTCCGTAAAATTCGCTCCATGGTTGGCGACCTTCCCACTAAACCCAGTGGTGTTGTGCTTGGATGTTGTCGTTCCTGCTGGTTCTACCCTCATCCAAGCACTCCATCCCAAGCCTACGTCGAGGTATACTTAGATCATACTGGCTTTAAAAAATGTTGCATGCTACATGGTGAAAACTCAAATAAGAAATGTCTCACTAGCCCAACTCCATCGATGATTTGTTCATGGACCACGAAGCCTCCTCGGAGATTAATGAGACAAGTCTTATTACCGATTAATGCACACTCCCCTTAATATTATAGTTGGAAATGGTTCGAGGCTCCCCATCACAACTATTGGCTACTCTTGTTATTCCTTCAATCTGGACAAATTTTAGTTTCCTCATCTATTATCAAGAACTTAATTTTATTTAATAATTTTCGTTGTGATATTTACTTTTCGTTTGAATTTGATCCCTATGGTTTCTCTTTAAAGGAGCTAGCAACAATGAGAATCCCCCTGAGATCAAATAGCTCGGGAGACATCTACAACTTCCGCTTGATGAATAAAGGTGGCACCATTGTTTGCTCTGCAACCAGCTCTGGCGACCTCTGCATTGAAGTCTTAGTCACTCGGGGCAAGCTTCTGTTTCTGTAGTAGCTACAAAATTACTTCCATCATGTAATAAATAAATTCGGCAAACTCTTGTTTGTGATTCTTGCCAGTTTGGATGACAGCCCTACCTGCGTATTGATTCTTCCCTTTTTTTCTACTACTACCCCTCCAAAAAATACATTATGATTTGTGAAATTTTCCCATTGTATTTTCCCTTCTTATGAATTTTATGTCATTATTCTTGATGAGTACTCACAGCATTACCGAACTAGTCCATTACACAACAAGTCTATTGCCGATATTACCCTCCAACGCTTTTACACCTTTGTGCTTAACCAAGTCCATGTTTCTCTCAAATAAATGGAAAACAATCAAGGTGGTGAAAATTCATCAACCACAAGCTACAACTATTTTGTCTCGATAGTTTTCTTGTCGAAACAATCTATAGTCGCCAACCTTCAGGTTTCTTTGACTACACAAGTACCCATATGGCCTTAAGAAAGCACTTTGTGCCTGGTCTATGCGGTTTAGCACACATCCCCTCTCCCTAGGCTTTGTTGTGTCCGAATTTGGCTCCTCATTATTCACCTTTCACTAAAACAATAATGCCACCACCCACCTTGCCTTATATGTCGTTGGGATTAGTCTCATGGGTAACACCTTTTTGCAAGAAACAATACGCTTTACAGACTCTCGTTTGCATCCATGCTTAATGCCAAGCCCATCTTCACCCTCGTTGACACCCAGTCCATACTATTTGCCACTGATGGCCATCCCTTAGGATCCATCACTTCATAGAAGTCTTGTTAATGCATTGCAGTACCCAACTCACACCCAACCTCAAGGTGTCCCGAGATTACCATGTTTCCTTAGTGCAAGAAATTCCCTTCTGTAGTCTTCCTGCCAACCTGTTGAAGAGATCCACCGCCTTGGGCATCACCATCATTCGAGTGAGGTCCTCGCAGATCAAGAAATTGCCAGTTTCAACTTAAACCACCAGATTTCACAACCAGGTCACCCCTTTCGTCTCATGGATTTATGTGTCTAATTCGGTCTCCTTCATCTTCATTCCTACAATATTTATAATTACCCCTCCCTTCATTACTGAATCTCCCAGTGCCCCTGTGTCTGCCAAAGTTCTCAACCATATCCTCAGTTACAAGTCACCGACGGCTCACAGGGAAACCCTAACACGCCAGAGAACTCACTCTCATCCACAACCTAGGATAAAAGCATGCTATTTATAAGTAATCAAAAGAAAGGGTAAGCGGATTGCCAAAATATATTTTTAACCCACCAAGACTCGGGCCTCCTGGATCAAAAGAGACCACTATATCAAGCCCAACAACACACTTGTTATCAACTTGGTTTTCAATTATCACTATAGATTTCAATTTCGACCCATTTCCCCTAAGGCAACTGACAACCTCACAATCATTCAAAACTAATCTCCAAAGTCAACCATCTCCTCGGACCAAAAAGCAGGGATGCACGAGATTTTTTTGGCATCCAAATGGTTCTTGACTTTTATCCCACAACTAATAAACTTTATAAAATCTTCTTATCTTCAATTTGGCTGAATTCACTTAGAGCAATACCATATCCTGAGACACGGGAAGATGTCTGGTATCATTTTTTGTTTTCTGGATTGCAATTTACCAACTCAACTTCTTCTATGTGCAATTCTCTCTTCACAATTTTGCAAAGGAGAATGCAGATATCTAGAGTAGCAACAAAAAGTACCTTGATATCTGAACGACCACACTTCCTCGTTGTCGGAGTCCTCCCCACCTAGCAACCAAAAGCCATTGCCGGCGTGGGACAACCCTACTCCGCTGCAGTGGAGCAAGCCAAGTTCAGTAGACGGGGGCAACACCGCGGGAAGTGCGGTGACCTCCTTGAGTTTTGTTACATGGACTCTGGGATCGTCTTTCAGAATCAGAATGAGCATCTCCCTTGTCCCTAGCAAAGGGAGCACCATCACCATTCCAATCTTGAACATCGTTGGGCCTATGGGGGCGCGACGATGATATTGGAACTTGCGCCACTTCCACTCCTATTTCAGATCCTCTGATCCCGCCTCCTCCATGGCCTAGATATCTACTTGCAGAGGGAGCTTGCTTAGCCCCTCCAGCGACAGCCTCTCGTCCTCCTCCACTATTAGCCTCTAACAGATCAAGCACGCCGCCTCGTACAGATTGTCCTTGGTCACAGACCATGAACAGATCTCCTGCATCCGATTCATCTTCACCTTATCTTCGCTTGGGATCTCCAATAGCTTCGACTCCATCTTCAACCTCTAATCTGCCACTGCTCATCAAAATTAGTGGAGAACGCAAACTAGACAGAGATGAGAGTTTTTCGCTGCCGCAAGGTGGAATGACAATGGACTTGTGGGGGGTATGGCGTAATCGTGCTCTGGAGGGGAGTAATTGCCATCCAGCCACACTGCACATTCATGGCATCGCCCAACCTCCCACTCCTCGCAGCGCGCATTGAGCACGCCACCGAGACCCGCACAATCCAGAGTCGTGCTAATCCAAGCAACGTGACAAAGGGGAATTTACCTCCAAACGTGCGCCGATCTGCTCACCGGCTAGGCAAACCCTTCCATTGCCCCCTGCCATTCTTGTCAAGCAGTAGGAGGCGCTCCAAGTCTGCCTGCCAGAGCACGACCCCCAGCGGTACACCAGGAGATCCGCCGCCCAGAGACTGGCAACGGAGAGAGCCTGCCAACATGTGCCGCATGTTTCTGCCTCGCCCGTGGAACGCGTAGGGAACAACATCCGTCCGTTATTACCCTTCTCGTGGGAGTACATACTCAATTCATGCGGTCCCTTTTTATCGACGGAGTTTACATTGATTTATTATTGGTTGCAACCTTTTTTGGTATATTACCAAGCGGACTGCTTGGTAATGGAGCTTTACATTCGATAATATGTAATTGGCTTATATTTAAATTATGGTCGAGATAGATGTTTCTGTTTGCTGCACTTGGCACGTCTATTACTTGGAAGCCGAACATGGATATATATATATATATATATATATATATATATATATGGTTCACCACGCGCCAGAATTCACATGGTCAATTCCACTTAACGTTCAACCAACATGCATCCATTCGTGAATATGGTAGATGAGTATTTAAGCTGCAAAAATGAAACCATCCATTCGTGACATTATGGTCCCCGCCCTCGTCGCCAGCGGCCCCCGAGGTTGGGCGCGCAGGGGCCGCTGG